TCATGATCAGCAATCGCGTTTACCTTTACGGGCACTAAACGAACACGGCAGTTAATTCACGTATAGGTAGCTTGCTTTTGCAAAATTAATAATGTTACTGTATCCAATCCAGCTGCAGATTCCCACAGTAGTACAATGTAAGACATGACACTGTGGATTACTTCCAAAGGAGACTTTATTAAATAAAATTGAGGACAACAGACATATTTAGCTTACGGGCCATTAGTCAGCTTTCTAATCCTTCTAATAGCGAAGATTACAAAACTTAATTTTGACTACTTTATGCTTTCCACTGGAGCTTGGTATTAATAATTCTGGGAAATACGGTCGAATTTTCGAAATATTAATATTTTAAATTAATTACATCGGTGGCGTAATATAATATGAGGTGTAAAGTGATGAATGAAATAGTGTAAAAATGTAAAATAAACTGTACACATTTTGGTTTTTAGATTCTGCATTGAAAAATAAATTGTTTTTAATATCATAAAAATTGTAGGTAACTAACAATTTGGAAATAATATCCAGGAATATCTGGTTGGCCAGTTTAGTACAAAGTCGATCGTTTCTTTTAACTTTAAACAATAATAGTGAGGTAGGTACATATAGATACCGCCTACATTTATACATTTTTTTTGTACTACATTATACATATTATGGGTTAATTCAGGGGCGTAGATACCGCCGTATCAGCCGTATCAATGATACGGGGCCCCCGGGCTACAGAGGCCTTCTAAGGACTTCTATGGGACAAGCTGTTGGTTTGAATTGTTTGGCTAGCTTAGTTCCTAGGAGTATCAATTGTTAGTAATAACTTGTAATCGATATATAATTATTTTACTTCAATGTAAGAGTTTTTGTTACTTTTGTGAAAATTATTTACCCTTCATTTGGGCCCCCCAACAAATTTTGATACAGGGCCCCTCTAAGGCACGCTACTCCACTGGTCTAATTCTTAGCCTACACATCTAATGATTCCTGTGAATGTATAAAGTCGCCGCTTCATTAAACAAGCTCAATGGTTAAAACAGTAATTTGTAAAAACTCGATAGCGTAAAGAAGTTTACTGAAAAGACAAAAAAATTTATAGACTATGTTACTTCCGCAACTAAGACGAATTTAACAACACTCCATAAGTTATAATCCGTCGGGCCGTTTATGCAACCAAATAAATAGACATACATACATACATTCAAAAAACATTACTCTCCTTTCCATCTGAGGCAGTCGGGTAAATAGAGATTTAAAGGAAAATACAATTATGTATTTGAGATTTTTTCTTTTCATTCTTATGTCATTTTACAAGCTACATCATTATCATTATGATTGCCACTTTAGTACAAACTGTTACTTTAATTTAATGGAATGCTTATTAAACAATGTCAAATCCCGTTATATAATATGTATATGAATTAATGTGTCATAAAATAATAATAGAGTAAAAAAAAACTTAAACTTAAAAAAGCCTACTTGGTTGTAGTTAGTCATGAAATCATTATATTCATGTCAATCACGAGGGTAGCTGACCTCTCTCCGGTCGTGTCGGTTTGCCATCCCATCGGACTGTGAGGGTGAGGAAATAGAGTAAGTATACGCTTGTGTTTGCGCATCATACCACTAATCTAATACTAATCTCAGCACCACTACTCCCAATCTTACAATAGGAAAGACACACCACCGTCGATAATACAACACGTGTTTCGCCTCTACACGAGGCATCCTCGGGTGAAGAAGCTTCACCGAGCTTCGCCCTCTGTTTCAACCTGATTTTTTTTTAACATCTTTAATATAATGAATTTCCGCAAAGTAACACCAGATTCTGTTGTCTTAGTTTTCGTTTAGAGTTTAGACTATTTTTTTTTATTATTCACTAGTTGTGCCCCGCGGTTTCACCCGCGTCATCACGCGTCCGAGGTGCGCGACATGACCTAGTTCAAGCATTTTATAACGGCTAGGGTTTAAGCGACGTCCGCGCGCCCAGCCAAGTATTAAATTATTTTAATTTTACATTATTTATTAAACTATGCGTCCAAATAACATGGTATAAAGAACAAAGTTTATCTTCATAAAATTGTCTTGATAATGAAGTAACTTTCGTTCGTAAGGATAAATAGTCCATGCCTAATAATAACGCTCATAAATCACTTTTAAATATTCAATACTTTTTTGTCACAAAATACCAAATTATGGCTTAGGTATAAGAAATAGACATATGGTATCGCGGACTTTTTTTTAGAGGGAGTAAAGGTCTATATTTTTCTAGAACATTGTATTTACGTATCCCTAACGATAACACCAGCGTACGCGGATAAATCATTTCGGCAGTGCTTTTTCTTCTGACTTGCTTAACAAATATCCCAATTTAAGGCTAGTTGAGTAATATAGCTTAATGCTAGATAGCCTATACTATTCCACATGAATCTGGCTATAATATACAAAAAGAATTTTTCAAATCGGACTGGTAGTACCAGAGATTAGCGCGTTTAAACAAACAAAAAAACAAAAAAATCTCTTCCGCTTTATTATATTAGTATAGATTATTCATTAGCTTATAAAAACTCGACTGCAGGACATAGACCTCCCCCAAAGTATGCCTCGAAGGGGTGATATTTGCCACAGTTGATACCCCCGATACGAGTAATGTTGTGTGACTGTCACGCAAGCGCTTCTTTTCAACCTACTTCAAAAAAGGAGGGGGTTCTCAATTCGGCTGTATGTTTTTGTTTATCTCGGAATTTTTTCTACGTGAACGGAAAGCTGGTGCCTCTCATGTGGTCCCATATATCTGAACTAGGTTTTGAGTTATCCTTAATAATGCGTATTTAATGAGGGCATCCACGACTTTTTCTGCCACCATGGCGGCGCCACTAGAAAATGAGGTATAATATTTGACAGATTTCATAGCGGCGAGGTTAATTTGTTCGGAAAATATTTTTCTTTCTGCACTATTAACTATATTTTATATTAATAAGATTAAAAATAAATAAACCAAATAACAGATATTCATAAAAGTAGAAAAATAATAAAAAATTTAACTATGTGCAAAAAAACTAAAGAGCAAACCACTGACGCATTGTTTTGTGTATCTAGAACTGATAAACTTTTATTAAAAACGAACTTCTCAATTAAATGAGTGCAATGCATGACCGTGCCATCTATCAAAATTCAAGAAAACTTAATTTCAAAATTGCAATACTTATAACAGATGGCGCTTAAATTTAACTTACCCTTTTGACTCTAGTAGGCTGATAGTTTATAAACGCTAGTTACTACCTTTAGCTCTGTCTTGTACCACAGAATAAATAATAGTACATACTACGTAACATACATACAATGAGGGCTAATAATTTTCCGCTTACCAGATGTCGCTACTTAGGACTGAGGTCAAGTTTTTTGTTACGCATTGAGAGCTTAGTTTTAAATAAATGTTTATTAGTTTCTATTATTACAGAAAATATTGCCTCAGTGGCTTGCTCTATAATTCTTTTGCACATTTTTAATCCTTTTTTTTAATTTTCCTCCTTTTCAGAATATCCGTAGTTTGGTTTAACTAATGTTACAGAAAGGAATATTATTCTATACATTTTCCTAACGAATTAAATTTCTCGCCCCGCTATGAAATCTACCAAAATAAATATTTCAAGTCCCTGATTAACAATAACATGAGCTAAGAAACCCTTTTCCTGGCGCCAACATTTTATTTTTATTTTAAAGATTGTTACAAACATTATATATCTTAGAACAACTTAATAAGCTAATAAGCAAAATGTTAAAATTCTTTTATCTTTATTATTAATTTAAATTTTATATCTAATATCTGTAATAATTTGATAAAAGTATTTTATATAATATTTTTTTAATAAACGGTCAGTAATTTACACAGACTCCATTTGAAATTAAAAAAAAACTAAATGTTAAAGGTAATTATATATTATAATTATAATCCTTGAAAAAAATACCACAATCATCAATGTATTAAGCTGCCATCTAGTAGTAATCTTTATCACTATATCAGTAACTTTACAAAGTATATAAAAACGCACACAAACTAATAATACACCCTACCACTACGAGCATTTGCAACAAGGCGGACGGATGGAAATGGAGATGGACCAAAGTGTTGCCATTAGTAAGGCAATTACTGTGTTTACGGGAATTAACACAAATATAAAAGTACGGCTTACTATTATCGTAGTAAATACAACATACTGCTATTCGTAAAGGTTATATAATACTACAAGCCAAAGGTTACATTAGAAAAAGTTATATGACTATTGATCAAAACATGTTGTTTACAATAACCTATTGTGTAATTACAATGATTGATGAATTATTGTTAGGTAACCATCAATTTTATGTCAAGATCATAAAGGAGTGTGTTAAAATTGTTTCGACTAATGTTGCTCTTTTAATAAATTATTTAATATGTTTATTAAAATTTGTTAATTTTATGGGTATGAGTTAAATTATATAATAATGCTCTTTAAAATTCATTAGTAATTTTAAAGACACTTAGGCGACAGTCGAAAACAAGCAGCTTTTCTAACAAACAGCCCACTTTTCCCAGAACATGGTAATCAGAAACTCGTCACTGGCAGCACTGTTCGTAAAGTAGTCAAAACAAAATGTCAGTTCAGTTTGTTAAAATCTGTGGCTTTTATAGGTTGTGCCGCTGTTTTTCGTAGAAAACATTTTTATCAACATCGTTTTTATTCGAAATTTATTAGAATATATAATGCTATTCTCTTGATCTTGAATAAAGTCCAACAAATTTGTGTATTAACGTTCTGGTTTGTGTATTCCTTTGAGTTTTCATGTGAATTTGTACGTTTAATTCGAGTGTGTAATCTTGTAACGGCGAGAACTCGACCATCGTTGATTTTGTTGGACGGTTTTAAAAAATGTGAAGAAATTGTGTATTTGGTGGACTTTGACTTTTTGGCTTTGATGAGGATCATCCTAATTATTTTGTTAGAAGTATCAGGTGGACAAGTGGCATTATGAAGTGGCTTATTTTTCTCTGGCTGCTGCCGGCTTGTCTAGCACACCTTAATGTTTACTTAAGCAGTGCTGAAGTGTGGAGATTGCTTGGTAAGTGTACTTACATTATTTAATTTATAATAATTAAAAATTAAAAATTTTGTACAGCCGACTTCAATATAAGTTATTAAGAATAACTCAAAAACTATTGGTCTGACCTTGATCAAATTCATATGGGACCACACGAGATGTAGGTACTAGCTTTCAAATAAAAAAAGAGTCATCGAAATCGGTTCACCCAGTAAAAAGTTATGAGGTAACACACATAAAAAAAACATACAGTCGAATTGAGTACCGTCTCCTCTTTGGATGTCGGCAGAAAAATAAAAAACGCACATTGTTCCGTAACTAAAAGTAATTGCGAAAAATAAAACAAGTGGTAAAATTGAAAATTATGTACAACCGACTTCAATATAAATAAAATAAAATGAGAACATTATCAATGTAGTCGAAGTAAATTAAATACGAATTAGTAAGCATAACTCAAAAACTACTAGTCAGATCTTGATCAAATTTATATATGGGACCACATAAGAAACAAGAAAATAATCGAAAACGTTTCACCTAGAAAAAAATCACATAAAAAATTTAATTTAGTTGAGAACCTCCTTTTTTGAAGTCGAGTCGAGTCTAGAGGGGAAGTTACTGCTGAAGTCGAAGGGCTTACCTTCGACTTCAGCAGTAACTTCCCCTGTTGCGTCTGGTTTTGGTTAACACGGTTATTTATACTGATAAATCAATTATAACTTTAGTACCTATCTTATGGAATACATAATATGGAAAGTGGAAGTCCATAATTTCTGCCTACCACTATGGAAAAAGCCATAATAGGCAATAGCCAGTTATATTGTTTTTAATGAAAATCTCTAAAGTTGACGTGTAAGAGTTAAACTTTATTTTAACTGCTCTGTAACGTTTCACTGGTAAGGTTACGTTACCTATAGTACTTACTATAATCATTGGTAAGGCGACCAACGTAGATTAATGTGATTCGGGTTTTAGTTCAGAATTCAGAATGGCATAAAAAAGTTTTGAAGTTAAATTTCAAAGTAACTGTTAATGAAAAACTTTTAAAGTTTTAATCTTTACTAGGTTTCCAGAAAAACGCTGTCGCGACTTCGTTTTTAAGTAGGTATGAGAGGTATTTTACAAACGAATCAAACGTTGCACAGTGGTGAGTTTTGTTTTTAGGGTTCCGTACTTGAAAATAAAATAAAAACGGAATCCTTTTACGATCACTTTGTAGTTCGTATGTCCGTCTGTCAAGATCCTTTTTCTCAGGAACGGGAAGAGGTACAAAGTTGAAATTCATATCTAATACTTACTAAGATCTTTAATCTCTTGTAGGTGTGAAAAGTTCAAACTCAACGCAAGAAAAGATATGGTCTTTATAATATCACAATCACATAATTTTGATACCCGCAAACTCACTCATCAGAACCTGTCAGAACTTCCCGTTGACCTACAATCACGAAATTTTCTAAGGAGGAAATTGCAATTAACAATTTCATTGGTGCCGGCGGGGATCGAACCCGGGTTGCTCGCGTACTGTGAATTTTACAGCAAGCGCTAAACATCTGAGTTACCACGGCATTTTTAATTAAACCTACTTATTTTTAATTCCCCGTGCTTTGCAGCACCTATGGTCACGAAGGCCAACACCAACGCTCCGGGAAGTTTGCAATTTGTGATCATATCCTAGACGGCTACCGTCATTAGATCAGATTGGATAGACCACAAATCCTCGCTAAAGAACATCGATTCCTACGAAGGATCATACGTGAGGCTATTGAAATTAAAAAAAAACATTCTAATTTCAATAGGGAAGGGAACTGGCAGCTGCCAACTGCTTGGGATCCTGTTGTTAATAAAACATTATCTATCTTCTTACACTCTTATACGTACCTATTGTTTATAAATGAAATATTACACATCTTTTTCAATTTATGGCATTCGTGTACCGGTAATGAAAACTGACCAAAATCATCAGAGTCCGTTCCCGGGATGGATGAAAGATGGATGAATCTTTTTTTTTATAGGATCGGGTGACAAACGAGCACACAGTCCACCTGATGGTAAGTTGTTACTGTGACCCATAGACATCTACATCTATCCTCAATAAAGACTCAAGATGCAGATGCGTTGTCACCCGTGAGGACTAAGATGGAATGCCTCTTTGCCAGTAAAAAGGGTCTCCGGTTCTCTACACTCACCATACGAAACACAGCAGCGTTAAGCTGCTATTTTACGCTGGTTTTCTGTGAGAGCGTGGTCCTTCCCCGTTCGAGCCGACCCATTCGTGCTACAACCATAATATAGCTGCAGCATGGCTCTACCATACATAAGTAATTAAGTACAGATTTACTACTGCTGTTGCGGGACTGTTTCGCAAAATCTGGGACGGTTGGCAGTACACAACCACAACAGCCACTCAATACTTTATGATGTTTTATAAATCTTTAATAGGTACTCTTGCACAAACTTTGTTCAAACACAAAACATAATATAGGTATGGTATGGATATTAACGAATGAAGTCGAACTGAATCACTAACCGTGTATAACTAAACCTAATAGAATTTTTGTTTAAAAAATACTAGGTCATCAGTCATGAAGTTATTGTTTTATCATCGGTTATTCCATAAATGTATGTACACAACCAACTTAAATATTTAATGATAATATTATAGTTATACTAGAACAAGCAATTCTGATCTAACCTTTAATAATCAACTGATTAGAAAACATAAAACAAATGAGATACGAATTGAAACATTAATGGCAAAATATACATTTCACTACACGCGCATTGCACCTGACCGCAAATGTGCATTGTAGATTGTAGTAAGTTTTAAACATCGCGATATCACAATTAACGATAATCAGAGCGGTAATAAGCTGATAATGAGTTGATAAAGATATGAGTTAAGCATTTCTTCATTGTTTTTAAAGACTATTCATTTATTAAGTAAGGTAAGTCATGCATATGCATACACATCTCATATCTTTAAAATTAGAAGAATTAATAACTCAAGTGAAAATTATCGATATTTCATTAGGAAATTCAAAGAATAGGAACAATCTGGATGTTAACATTCTGAAGCCTAATTTTTAAATAGTAAATCAAAAGAATAAAATGAATAAGATTTCTACATATAAATTATTAGATACACACTCGTATATAACATAATAACATAATATGAGAAGATATATTTGCTTTTTTGGTTTGTATCTTGCCAGCAACGCAAAGTCGGGAATTTGCATTTGGAAAAAGCCGAAATTAGGAGCTTTTTAGGTGCTAATTAGGTGCCAAGTTTAAAAATTAGGTGCTTTAAAATTTTCACCGTAACGATTGATTGAAATTTGTTGAGAAATATTTAATAAAAATATTAAGGTTAGTTCAGCAATATTAAAATACATAATTTAAAATTAAAAATTTTGTACAGCCGACTTCAATATAAGTTATTTAAGAATAACTTAAAAACTATTGGTCTGACCTCGATCAAATTCATATGGGACCACACGAGAAGTACCAGCTTTCAAATAAAAAAAGAATCATCGAAATCGGTTCACCCAGAAAAAAGTTCTGAGGTAACACACATAAAAAAAAAAAACGAAAAAAAAAACATACAGTCGAATTGAGTACCGGCTCCTTTTTGGAAGTCGGCAGAAAATCATATTTTAAATTAATTCTTCACAACACTTACCAATGTTTAAGTATTAGAAAAATTACGAAGTTGTTAGGTTTAATCTTATTACTGGTCAATTTCAATATCACACTGGATTAAATCGCATTTGAAAAAAAAACTTTAATCCGTCTTAAGTCTTCACAAAGGTTTATTGACGCGACCTTCCCGAAATTGCACCCCGAGGTGAGCTTAGTTATCGTTATTGTGTATCGCGCACACCTTTTGGATTTTATGCCAATAACAATAAATATATTTGGAACGTGAACACGAAAAGTTTTAAGGCAGAGTACTTTGTTGTAATTTATATAGTCATATTCATATGCGAATAAGCACTTGGATCGCGCATTTATATATTATTTTTATTAATATACAACAACGAATATATAAACAACCAATATATAACTATAAAATGTCTATTTTTTTATGGCGGTATTCTCCTGAACAGTTTTAAAATCAACGAGAAAGTTCCACCAAGTAAATTAAAAAAAAATAATGTATGGAATTATACGTTACCTATTTAAATTAAAATATGTATGCATGCATATACGTTTCCTTCATACTATATTAATCACTAGTAAACTTTTCCGGTTAATTTTGATTGTATAATATTCTAGTTTATATATATATTTAAAAATCCTTATGTTTTTAAAAGTTTATTTTTATTTTAAAACTTGTGAACTTATTTGAAAGTGAATAAAATGACAGTTTCGTCGTCATTGACGTATTCTAATTTTATTTCGACAATAAATCTAACAGGCTTTAGTTTCTTTCTTCCTTAGAGTATTTTAATGTTAAGCTGAAGTGACAGATTTAAAAGGGGCCTGCGTGTGCGCAGGTAATAGCTTTAGAGATGTGATGCGTCTCCACAATGGAGCGGCTTTTATCCTGTCCTATTGTAACAACCTGCGGGCACTGCAATCCATCTTTGTCAGGATGTAACCATCTGTCCTTTGTCCTTGTTTAGAAATTAGAATTAGAATGGTTAAACAATTCGAACTACGGCACCGGGCACGAGCTTCGTCACTTCATTACTCTTAGCGATTTTATTCCATTTTAGTTTAATTTAACTAGTAGTAATAGTAACTCAAGTAATTACCAGTTATTAACAATAAAACCATAATAAGTTGGCGCTAATCTTATTTGATGTATGTACATATATGATCTAAGTACGTATTTACTTTGATATTAATTGTTTCTTTAGGGTTCCGTAACTCAAAAGGAAAAAACGGAACCTTTATAGGATCACTTTGTTGTCCGTCTGTCTGTCTGTCTGTCAAGACCCTTTTTCTCAGGAACGCGTGGAGGTATCAAGCTGAAATTTATATCAAATACTTAAGTCTACTGTCCCTTGGAGCTGTGAAAA